GGATATCGGAGATATTTAATTCTGGTGAGGTGCTCGTGGGTTTTATTACACCTCTTAATGGAAAAGTTTCAGATCAAGAATAGCATTTAGAAACAAGGTTTTTACTTGGCTTCTCTAATGGTGTCCCACCGCCAGTCTTCTTCTGAGGTCTCTTGGCGGTCTTTTCGCCACTTCCTTTTAATTTGAAGGTTGTCTTTGTTTTCGGTTCATGTTGGTTTGTCTTTCCTTTCTTTTTTTTTTTTTTTTTCAGGACAGGCATCTAATGCCATATACCTGTACTGTTGCCTTGTATCGTGCGGCACTAGTGGAGCCGCTCCAGCTCATGTTCGGAGTGGATGTCACTTCTGCTCCGTTTTGTAAGTTTCCTCGTGCATTTTTCCACCTCCAGCCAGCTCATGTGCTGTCTGAGCTGTCATGGTCCTTGGACCGGGTGCTCTCCTTTTTCTCTTCTCCTCGGTTTGTGGTGGCCCCTTTGGTCCGTGACTGCTTTCAAAAGTTGTTGTTTTTGTTGGCTTTGGCCTCTGGGGGCTGGGTCGGCAAGTTTCATACTTTCCGTTGCAGGGACTTCTTCTCTTTTTCTCTGGTGGACATTTTGTTCGCTTGCAGCCATCTCCTCCTTTTGTGGCAAAGAATGAGACAGCAGGCTTCTAGAGGGGTCCATGTGTTATCGATGCTTGGTCAGGCCAGGGGTGCATAATGTGTTGTGTCCGATTTGCGGCTTTACGGCGTTACCTGCGCGCCTCTGTGTCTGGGAACATGCTGTGGGTTGACCCGGTATACCTCGTTCCCTGTTCCAGGGCTTGGGTCTTTCGGGTCGTTCCCAGGATCATTAAGTCTAGCCAGCCTGCGCTCTACCCTTTCAGCCATGATGTTCAGACATTTGTGGCTCTTGCTGCTGTGTTTGGAAACATGTCTTGAGCTGACAATCGGGCACAGGGGTTTTGGAGGTTGAACAGGGTCCTGGTCATTCGTTATTGCACTGGACCCTCAGCAGTTGCAGCCAGTTGTCTCGGCTTTGTTATGAGTCATGCGGTGCGGCTGCGTCCCGAGTAAGTCATTATTTTTACTGTTCCTTGGGTAGCTAGCTCCAGGGAGCCAACAGGGCTTCCCATAGAAAATCCACATTGAATGTAACGAAACGCCGTTTTCTGGGTGAGTTCCGGAGGCTACCTGACACCCTCACTCCCTCCGGTCAGCAGTTTTTGTTTCCGTTTGCTCAGTCTCAAAAACTGGGGACAGACAGCTAGCTCTGGTGGGGTGGGGCCTCCCCCTCCTGGAGGGTGGGGGGGGGGTGCCAAGAAACAGATCAGTTTGCGTCTGTTTCGGAGTGCCTATCTTTCTGGGTGCCCAAACCCGGTCAATGGCAGACATGAAGGCCCCCACACAGTGGAGTTTTTATAGGCCATTGCTCCCTTCGCCTCTCTGAGGGAACCGTGTTCTGGCTTGTGGTTCCCTGTAGGCATGACAACTCCATATGACTAAAGACTCAGACTAATATAGCTAATATCAGTCCAATAGCTCCAGGGAGCCTCTGGGACTCACCCAGAAAATGGCATTTCATTACATTCAATGCTGGTGTTTTAAAAGATTTTAGCTATGTGTTGTAATTACCTAAGTGTAGTTACAGGATGATAGCTATGCTCGTGGTGTCTCATCTTCCCAGCACTCTTTGTCATACAACGCTTTGAAATTACTGACGGTTTTGGCCTCCACCACCTTCTCACTTAACTTGTTCCAATAGTCTACCACTCTGTTTGCGAAAGTAAATTTTCTTATATTCCTTTGGCAACGTTATTTACTTAGTCTAAATCTGTGTTCTCTTGTTCTTGAAGTACCAGGTCTCGGAATTCTTCCTTATCAATTTTGTTGATTCCCGTTACCATTTTGTATGTAATGATCATATCGCCTCTTTTTCTTTTATCTTCTAGTTTTGGCATATTTAATGTCTCTAACCTCTCCTTGTAGCTCTTGTAATTCAGTTCTGGGAGCCACTTAGTGGTATGTCTTTGCACCTTTTCTAGTTTGTTGTGTGCTTAAGATATGGGCACCACACAACCACTGCATATTCCAGCTTTGGTCTAACAAAAGTTGTGAACAATTTCTTTAGTATTTTGCCATCCATGTACAGTATTTAATAGCCATTCTGAAGTTAGAAAGTGTTGCATAGGCTCCGTGCACGATGTACTTATGTGGTCCTCAGGTAATAGTTTTCTATCTAGAACGACCCCTAGATATCTTTTTTTTTTTTAATCAGAATTCTTTAAAGATTTCTCACATAATTTATAGGTTGTGTGGGGTCTTTGTTCTCCTATTCCACATCCCATAACATGGCATTTATTCACATTGAATTCCAATTGCCAAGTGGTGCTCTATATACTTATTTTGTCCAGGTCTTCTTGAAAGGCATGACAATCATCTAAGTTTCTTATCCTTCCTATTATTTTAGCATCATCAGCAAACATGTTCATATAATTCTGTATACCAACTGGTAGATCATTTATGTAGACAATGAACATCACCGGTGCAAGAACTGAACCCTGTGGTACTCCACTTGTGACATTTCTCCAGTCCGATACACTGCCTCTGATTACTGCCCTCATTTTTCTAACAGAAAATTTTTCATCCATGTTATAAGCTTACCTGTCACCCCTCCAATATTTTCCAGTTTCCAGAACAAACTCTTATGTGGAACTCTGTTGAAAGCCTTTTTTAGGTCCAGATAGATGCAGTCAACCCAACCATATCTTTTTCTGTAAAATCTCTGTGGCTCGATCATAGAAACTGAGTAAATTTGATTTGTATGATAGGTACTGAAGTTTAGTCTCAAGTCTATGTATAAACTGAGGAACTTTCGCTCATTTTTAATGCTAATGTTGACAGTGTCTATCTGAATGAGAATTTTTTACGATTTTCTTCTAGATAAAATATACTATATCTTTTCTATGTTTAGTGTGAGTTTGTTGGTTGACATCCATGAGTGAACATTTTTTTTAAATTTGTCATTTGCAGTATTATTTAGTGTGTTTGGGTTGGGGTGTGAAAAGATGATGGTAGTATCGTTAGCAAATAGTACAGTATAGGCTTAAGAATGTTAGAGACGTTCGGCAAGTCATTAATGTATATAAGAAATAGGAGAGGTCCTAAGATCCTTCCTTGTAGCACTCCTACGGTTAGTGATAGAGAGGGAGAGGTTATGTCATTGATGGCTATATATTGGTGTCTATCATTAAGCTATGACTGAATATAGTTCAGAACAAGCCCTCGGATTCCATGATGGTTTTGATTAACCCTTAAACCGCGCATGTTTAGAGCTCGGAAGCGAAAAGTGTTCAAATTATGTAAAGAAAACTTAAAACTGTTAAACAAATCTCCAATTTATTGTTTTCAGTGTCATGAAACTTTCATCAAAATATTTTCAGAAATTGATTTTAGATCAATTTTTTAAAAAGAAGAACCTTTTGTCGATAAAGAGAACAGCTCCTATTAACTAGGACTAAGGGATAATGCAGTAATAAAGAGATGTAAGCACCTGTCTGACGCACAAAGAAGAAGAACAGTAGTAAGAAGTATCCACAAAGTGGCTATACAGCTGGTGCCTTTATAGCATTGCTGAGTAATACATAATAACACAAATAATAATGAGTAACTATGCTATTATGCTCTATTGTGTTATATATCATATAAATACATTGCCCAATGTTAATATATATTACTTTCATCAATGTCTAAAAAAGATTTTTTATGGGATTTTTTTTTCAAGATTTTTTTTTTATTACTATTATGTGATTTTGTTGTAACGTCAACATCGTGGAGAGTGCATACCCTTCCCTAACTATGTGAAGATAGAATGTAATTGGTCAACAAATAAATCAGTCACAACTCGCAGAACTTGTGACTGAATTTTTTGGGGCAGATTTTTTCACGGATTTCAGACTCTAATTTTCTTTGTCTCTTTAGGGTGTTTTGAGGATTAGGAACCATATTAGGGCTTTTCACTTATATAAAGTAGACCCTAAATATATCCCCTAATTCATTATAATTATTAAATATTATGAATGCCAAACAATGTTTATTAAAACATACAACTAACATAACAAATTAGAACTACCTCTATTCATTGTCGAGAACTTTAAGTTCAATTATCTCTGAAACTAGAGTTTCAACTTTGAGTGGCTTCTAAACCAGTTTCTGACCAATTCTCACCATTTTGACATTGTGTGCTCAGCTGTCTGTTCTACGATCCCTTCAGAATGGATTTTTTATAAACCCTATACATTTGGAGTTATACTTTATTTTTTGTTTAAATTTGCCACATATTTCAAATGCCATATTGACAACTTTTTTGCAGTAAACTATACTGAAAGCCTATATTCTAATTGGATGCAATTGAAAATCATATGCTATTCTGAGAGCATGATAACACTAAATAAACAATTGGCGATTGTTTATATTTTTTAATCTGATTTGAAAATCTGAAGTTTTCAATATTCAATTTTAAATTTATTTTTATTTTCTTGTTTTTCAAGTTATGTTGTGATCATTTAGACAAAATTGAAGCATTTGCCTAGTTGATTATGCACAAAAAATTGGAAAGTGTTTGTGCAAGTTTGAAAAACTTGAGTTATGTCAAATCGTATATGTATGAACAAATCCACAAGGGCCGTGACGAGAATTCGAACCTGTGCCGCTGCCTTAATCGATATCACGCTATTGTGATTTCTGTGTGTAGTGTAGTGTCGTACATGTATGTTTTGCGCGGTTAATGGTTAAGTACAAGTTAGTTATGATTTACAGTATCCAAGGCCATTCTCAGGTCAATGAAGAGGCCAATTGGAAACTCATGTTTGTCAAGGGCTGAGTAGATTATATCAGACTAATAATGGCATCATTGGTATTCTTTTCAGAAAGGAAGCCAAACTGGCTAGGACTTAATACCTGTATGTTAAATTTTACAAGATTGAGTACATAATGACTACCACTTACTAAATACCTTGCTTCAGGTATCGGGAAGCACAATGGGTGGTCGAGGCCGTGGTCGAGGCTGTGGTCGAGGCCGTGGTCGAGGCTGTGGTCGAGGCCAAGGCATGAGCAACAATCATTGTAGTGGGAACCCGGCCTTGCTAAACAATCTGAATAATGGTGAGTATCATAATACTGTACTGTAGTTTAGGAGAGGGCCAAGAGTTTGTACAGCATGTATTTTTATAATAATTGTATAATATTTTTTGTAATTATAATTTTAGTCTGTTGATTGACCAGATGTTACTTTCAATGAATAACTACCTACTTTGTCACCTTATTATTATTATATAATTCATTGTGTCGAGGGACAGGAAGCCAGGGTGTATTCATACACGTTTGGCTTTTATCGAGTCCTCCCCCCCCCCCCCCCCTCAAGGCTGAATTACTGACCCCGCCCAGGATGCAACCCCACAGCTAGTTGACTAACTCCTGAATACCTACTCACTGCTAGGTGAACAGAGACATTAGGTGAAAGGAGATGTGCCCAACCATTTCTGTCCTGCCTGGGATTCGAATTCTTGATTGTGCGTTGAGATTGAACCCTCCGAGTTGGTCGGCCGAGCGGACAGCACGCTGGACTTGTGATCCTGTGGTTCCGGGTTTGATCCCGGGCACCGGCGAGAAACAATGGGCAGAGTTTCTTTCACCCTATGCCCCTGTTACCTAGGAGTAAAATAGGTACCTGGGTGTTAGTCAGCTGTCACAGGCTGCTTCCTGGGGGTGGAGGCCTGGTCGAGGACCGGGCCGCGGGGACACTAAAGCCCCGAAATCATCTCTAGATAACCTCTACTTCTGTACTACTGGGACCCTTAATTTATGTGTACCTACATATACATGAACTCCTTTCTCATACAGCATGTGACATTTATGTTGTTACCTTGAGCCCACTCGAAGTAACAGCATTCTATATCTTGTACTAACATCAGAAGAGGGCATGTTTGTTCAAATCCAGGTAGGGGAAAAGCTCACCCCCTTCTTGTGATTACAAGTACTTGAACTGGTACTCGGCAACTTCAACTTGATATTCATAGACTGGATTTACAGGATTTAGTGACCAGTAATGTGATAAGGGCAGGATTGTGGTGATAATAAGCACTGTGCATAGTATTGTGGGAGGAGTAATTGTGGTGAGGGAGTGAGGGAGAGAATCGAGGTAGCCTCACTGTGGCAGCCACTCTTGTTTTGCTCATCAAACTAGCTTAGTGGTTCACTATGGTGAACACATATGTACATGGGTATATACAATGTGAGTATATAGTGTAGTAACAGCAACAGGAGTATGTTGGGAAGAGCTATTTTGGTGAGTGAGGTGACGTAATCGTAGCGTCGTCTGCTGGCTGCTGTGTGATTTCTCATGCAGTGTATGGTGGCCACTGTAAAGTTTGCATACAATACCGGCTTACTTGCATAGTTCTGGTGAATAAAACATGTAGATAGGTATACATAACATGTGTAAATAGTGTAATACAAACAATAACAGTATGATGGTAGGAGCAATGTTGGCGAGTAAGATGTTGGAGGAGTGAGGGTGTGGCAGCTGACACTCGCAGAGTTCTGAGTGTGTTCATGGTGAATGTATATAGTGTGTGATAGTGTATAGTGTGTAAATAGACTGTATATATTCATAAATTAGCATAATACAATGGAAATATGTGCTGGATATGTGTACACATGTGTCATGCACGTAACGCAGTGTCTTCGGACAGTACGGATGTTCTACTGCCATAATATAGTGTACATGTTCATTATACATAGGATTGGCACGTAAAAGCATATAAAATGTATTTGGAACTGTGCGCCGAAAATGAACAAAAATATATTCGCGGCAGCTCGTGCATCCAGCCCCGAGCGCCCTACCGGCCCCGGGGGCGTACACCACGGGTGACCAGGGAATGATGACGTCACGCACGAACTTACGGACCCCATAGCAGCTAAAGTACTTACAATTTCGACCTGTTACTATACCCTTACTCAGGGAAGGGTTTTTGACACTTTAAAAACAGAAAAATATTTTTTCCAGATATTTTATTTCCTGCGCACTGGGGGGGGGGGTCATATTTGGAAGCCGCGCAGTTAAGGGGTTAAAAAACTAACTGATGCCCTCTTAAGGAGCTTATACATCATCAGAGTATTTGCTTAGAGATGTTACATTTAAGTAAATGTAACATCTTTGTAATGTAAATTTAACAAATTTTAATGTAATGTAAATTTAACAAATTATTAACAAATAGTAAATTTTAATTTAAATGTAACATCATAACATCTTTAAAAGATGTTTACATTTAGGAATACATTTTGGTGATTTGTTAATAAATTATTTGCATGGTTTTCCATATACAGTACAGTACTTGCAATTTTGATGATTAAAATGATGATTGTCATAGATGCCACGAGATTAGAGTTTAATTTTGGTATATTCTAGATTTCATTTGGAAGGCTGATTGAGGTGAGATAAATTACTAATAATTATTCTAAATCCAGAAAATAATTACAGTAAAATACTAACATGATAAAAACAATGGACAATAAAAGTTAGAGATGAGCAAAGTGTAAATAGAATAAAAGTACTGTACTGTATTTATATTTTACTTTGCAGCATTGGAAGGAGCAGGGCGCTCACAAGCCTCGAGGGTGTCAGCTGACCACAGGAACCAAGTATGTCATTATGGAGAGTTCAGAATTTGGTTTATATTACAATAATGATAATATTTCTGGGAAGGCCTGTCTCAGTAGCTTCCCCAGCTTATCTCTAGTGCCATTGAGCCTTGGCCCAATATCCTTGGTTTCCAAGACCCATTTCTCACCTGCTGGAAGCAAGGACCAGACTTGGGCTCTCACTATGAGGCAAGGGGAGCAGGGGACAAGTGGTCAACCATAAAACTGGCCAAACCCACCAGAAAGCATAGGTATCACACAACACGTGACTGCCTGAAGAAAATTAGGCACCCCTACATAAACAAGGCAAGTAGTTATTTCTGTGGAGTAAATACCCTGAGTGATATACCTGAGAGCCATCAGATGGCATCCCAGGTCACCTAAGGTCTCAGCCAGTCTGCTCCCTCACTGTACTGTCTGTTGTTATCTGCCTAGCACCTCAAGTCTAAGCTGGTCTAAGCTTTAGTTGTTACCTCTATAAATTTATAACTAAATTTACTCATTATTTTAAGTTATGTCTAAAAATGCTGTGTAAAATTAGTGACTATATGAAGAATACAAATACTCCATACAAAGTAACCACTCAAATATGATCCTTTATATAAACAAAATAGTATTGTATATTTATAATTAAGTGATGTTGGCTTTCACTGGAACATTTCATTCTGCCAGGGGCCATTGCATTGTTTTTGTTTATGCTTCATGTTTGTATATACCATCCACATCTGACCCTATTATGCTGTACAAGAGTGGTATTAACATATTAGCACAAAATGGGAGTATGCTACAAGGCAACATACTATGGCAACAGCAAAAATCTCAAAATAAACAATACCCAAATTTGTAACAAATTAGATGGCAAATTCCTTGGCATTCTCATTGACCACAAGCTGAATTTCCAGGGACACATTCTAAATATATAAAAAAAAGTTTCAAAAACTGTGGGCATTCTTTCTAAGATCAGATATTATGTACCACGCCCTGTCCTGGTGACTCTCTATTACTTACTTATCTCTCCATATCTCAACTATGGTATTTGTGCTTGGGGCTCTACTACCCAAAATCATTTACGTCCTCTAATTACTCAACACAAAGCTGCTATTAGGACAATATCCAACTCTGGCCCCAGACATCTCTCGGTACCCCTACTCAAATCTCTGAATATGTTAGACATTAAGTCACTGCACATTCTCTCATGTGTATTATACATATATAAAACGCTAAACTGTAATGCCAATCCTGATCTCAAAAGCTTCATAGAAGGTTGTAACAGAACCCATGAGCACCACACCAGAAATAAATACAGTTTTGATATACCTAGAGTACGACTTAATCAAACTAGAAATGCTCTACAAATCAAGGGGCCCAGAATGTGGAATGACCTTCCCAACCATGTTAAAGACTGTACCTCTCTCAACCAGTTTAAGATAAAAACGAAGCTATACCTCATAAATTCCCTGTAACCTACCTTACCCCTCTATTGTCAACCAATGTCTGTTTTTTTTAAAGAGCGCTGTTTGTCGACAGAATTGTATTTGTGCTGCTTTTTCAGCTATGTTTTTCATTTCTTGTTTTCATTTTACTCATTATGCTCAATTAGTATTAAGCTTTAGTCATTTAAGTTTTTCCTGCCTGAAACGCTTTGCGTAATAGTGGCTTTAGGCATTGTATGTACTAGCTCTATCTATAAGTCCACCAATCTTTGTAAAAAAAATTCTTGTATGTATGTACCTTACCTAAATATACATTTATTATTTTATTATTTATAGCAGACAAAGTTACTGATCTGCCTAATGTGAGCATTGCAGCAGCGGAAACCCAAGCCCTTATAATGGGTGACTGAACCATGAGACAATAGATTGGATGAATCTAATCTCACAATTGGGAGGAGAACAATTTCCTGACCTGGTACAGGACTCCCTTTCTCATACAGCATGTGACAGCACCCACCCAAGGTAACAGCATTCTAGATATTGTGCTAACATCAGACATGTGCATGATTGCTCAAATACAGGTAAGGGAAAAGCACACCCCCCTTTATGTGATCACAATATTCTAATATGGATTTCAATTATAGAAACCCATGTAAAGGTACATGATGATGACTTTCTAGACCAACGTTCTTCAACCTTTTTACACCTGCGGACTGGCAAAAATTGGAGAAAAATTGCGGACCGGCTGAAGGCTAAGACAGAAAAAACCCAAAGCAGATAGTATTTCATGTAGATAGTTGTGACATGATACAGTACTGCGGGTGTACTGGGCAGATGGAAAGTTGCGCACACACTCGTTAAGTAAAAAAAAACCCGCATAGGCCTTTTGCAGTGTGAGAATTGGGCAAGAGTGGAAGACAAAACTCAGAAGACTCAGGCAAAAAACTCACAAAAAGGCAAAAAAGGAAGACTCGGACAAAAAATATAACGATTTACTCTACAATAAAATTAACTAATAACATCTGAATTACAAAAACCACTGACTTACACTACTTGGTTGATACACAAGAACAGGAATAACACATGAAAGATTATGTTAACACAAAGAGAATAAAATATGTAACTGCGAATAGTTACACTGAAGACGTCACAGCCTGGGCACAAAATGTCTGGCGGAACAGCTGATGTCGTGACCACTCGTAATGTCATAATCCAGATCACCTGAAAAAGAGACTGGAGTTGACAGCTCGAGTCAGGTGCACTTGTACCCCTGTTGTTGATGTCACATCCTTTGTCAATGGTGGCTGGAACAGGTCACCGGCAGAATAACAAGCTATCTGTAGCAAATAACGCCAACCAGTGAGCACACCTATTTGATATTTGACACACCGAAGAGATATTTGACATTCAGTACATTCCTTCCTTGGGAAAGAGTGATCTTGTCCTGTTAGACATTGATTATGCTTTAAGATATCATCTAGAAGAAAATGGGGACATTGAAACAGTTGATAAACTCGATTTAAGGAGAGGACACTATGGGGAACTTCAAAATTTTTTTTAATGAGTATAATTGGACAGACTTGTTCCTAGGCAGGGAAGTAAATGAAATGTATGCCAAATTTTTTAAAATATACAAGGAAGGCACACAAACATTCATACCAAAACAGAGATGCAGGGCCAGTAAACAGGATTGGTTCAACAGAAATTGTGAGAGGGCCAGAGACCAAACGACACAAAAATGGAATCAGTATAGGAAGAGGCCAAACCCCCAAACATACCAGCGATACAAAGTTGCGAGAAATAACTATACGGCAGTAAGGAGAGAGGCAGAAAGAAATTTTGAAAAAGGGATAGCGGATAAATGTAAAACAGAATCGGGCCTATTCTACAAATTCATAAACAACAAATTGCAGGTAAAGGATAATATCCAGAGGTTGAAAATGGGAAACAGATTCACAGAAAATGAAAAGGAAATGTGTGAAACATTAAATGAAAAGTTCCAAAGTGTGTTTGTACAAAATTAAATCTTCAGTGAACCAGACACAATAAGAATTCCAGAGAACAACATAGAGCGGATAGGGGTGTCTAGAGATGAAGTGGAAAATATGCTAAAGGAGCTCAGTAAGAACAAAGCAGCTGGCCCAAATGGAGTTTCACCATGGGTTCTGAGAGAATGTGCATCTGAGCTCAGCATTCCACTTCACCTGATCTTTCAGGCATCTCTGTGTACAGGAATTGTAGCAGACGTGTGGAAACAGGCTAACATAATTCCAATCTACAAAAGTGGCAGCAGGGAAGACCCACTCAATTATAGACCTGTATCATTCACAAGTGTAATAGTGAAAGTATTGGAAAACTAATCAAAACTAAATGGGTAGAACACCTGGAGAGAAATGATATAATATCAGACAGACAGTATGGTTTTCGATCTGGAAGATCCTGTGTATCGAATTTACTCAGTTTCTATGATCGAGCCACAGAGATATTACAGGAAAGAGATGGTTGGGTTGACTGCATTTATCTGGACCTAAAAAAGGCTTTTAACAGAGTTCCACATAAGAGGTTGTTCTGGAAACTGGAAAATATTGGAGGGGTGACAGGTAAGCTTTTAACATGGATGAAAAATTTTCTGACTGATAGAAAAATGAGGGCAGTAATCAGAGGCAATGTATCGGACTGCAGAAATGTCACAAGTGGAGTACCACAGGGTTCAGTTCTTGCACCAGTGATGTTTATTGTGTACATAAATGATCTACCAGTTGGTATACAGAATTATATGAATATGCTTGCTGATGATGCTAAGATAATAGGAAGGATAAGAAACTTAGATGATTGTCATGCCCTTCAAGATGACCTGGACAAAAAAAGTATATGGAGCACCACTTAGCAAATGGAATTTAATGCTAATAAATGCCATGTTATGGAATGTGGAATAGGAGAACATAGACCCCACACAACCTATATATTATGTGAGAAATCTTTAAAGAATTCTGATAAAGAAAGAGATCTAGGGGTGGTTCTAGATAGAAAACCATCACCTGAGGACCACATAAAGAATATTGTGCGAGGAGCCTATGCCACGCTTTCTAACTTCAGAATTGCTTTTAAATACTGTACATGGATGGCGATATACTAAAGAAATTGTTCACGACTTTTGTTAGGCCAGAGCTAGAATATGCAGCAGTTGTGTGGTGCCCATATCTTAACACTTTCGCGCTCTCCGCGTTCAGAAAAAAATCATACCCTAGATGCTTTCGGCGGTTCGCGCGCCTACGCGGTAAGACCGAAAAAGTGTACACTCTTTTGACTGTCCTGACAATAATTGAAGGCCCACGTATTTAAATTTGGTATCACTGTGTTCGCAATAAAATTGTCTATAAGAACATCCCTATAAAATGCCGCCAAAGGATAAGGACTATCAACACCAAATAAGAAACTATTCAGATCACTCGCCGAGAGCGCCAAACAGCAACAAAATGTTTCCACTCTCTTAATGGTTGCGAAGCTTACAGTTGTCCTACATCACTAATTGTGGTATCATTGGAATCGCAATAAAATTCTCTACACGGACATATGCATATAAATATAGATTCAATGTCGTAGCCCACCCAAAACAGTGTGGGAAGTGGCCGAAGTGTTACCCGCGGCGGCATATCGGCGAAACTCGCTTTGAAAAGTGTATATTAAATTCACTGTCCTGATGATATTTGTCGATGTATGTATTTCATTTTTGTACCAATGTGTTCGCAATAGAATGTTCTATAAGAACATAAGTATTAAAGGTCACATAAGGATTCGTTCGACCGGCAACATATATAAAAACTAGGTCGATTATACTCATCGTGTCAATAATACAATTGTTTTACCACGATGATTCACTGCCACAACGTTCTCTTTAATAAGCTGTTTGGCTATTAGAGAAAACGTAAATTTCATGGCAAACATTTGTAAACTATTCCCAAGTTGATCGGATAATAATGGATTTTATACAAATATTTTTTCTCGTGACTCCCGAGCGCCGCACACCAGCGTAGTTAGTAAGAATATTGGTGACGACACTGTTGTCACCAATTAGCGAAAGTGTTAAGAAGCACATCAACAAACTGGAAAAAGTGCAAAGACATGCTACTAAGTGGCTCCCAGAACTGAAGGGCTAGAGCTACGAGGAGAGGTTAGAGGCATTAAATATGCCAAAACTAGAAGACAGAAGAAAAAGAGGTGATATGATCACTACATACAAAATAGTAACAGGAATTGATAAAATCGATAGGGAAGATTTCCTGAGACCTGGAACTTTACGAACAAGAGGTCATAGATTTAAACTAGCTAAACACAGATGCCGAAGAAATATGAGAAAATTCACTTTCGCAAACAGAGTGGTAGACGGTTGGAACAAGTTAGGGGAGAAGGTGGTGGAGGCCAAGACCGTCAGTAGTTTCAAAGCGTTATATGACAGAGTGCTGGGAAGACGGGACACCACGAGTGTAGCTCTCATCCTGTAACTACACTTAGGTAATTACACGTGCAACAAGAGGTAGGGGTGTACCCTGGGAGTATTGTCTAGACAGGCTTTTGAACTTGGCTTGTGCTTCAGAACGGATGATTTATGATTAATGTAGTTCTGCTTGAGATGGAGTAGTATTTTGAGGAGGCTATCAACAACAAAGGTGAGAGTGAAGAGGCAGTTTTCCAGGATATGCAAGGGAATTATGTGACAACAGTATTTTAGTATAACTGTTTCTTTCTCAGTTTATGGTTGTCCTTTTGGCCTGGGATGTTTTTCTTAGGGTGGGGATTTTGTTGGCTTCTGCCTCTGGCTGCAGGGTTCAGTAGGTTTATGCACTTCCTCAGAGGTGGGGGTTCTATTCTTTTGGCACTGGTGGCCAATTTGTTAATTTGCAGCCTTCCCTTTCTGAAGTTATCTTGAGATGATTTCGGGGCTTTAGTGTCCCCGCGGCCCGGTCCTCGACCAGGCCTCCACCCCTAAGAAGCAGCCCGTGACAGGTGACTAACTCCCAGGTACCTATTTACTGCTAGGTAACAGAGCAACAGGGTGAAAGAAACTCTGCCCATCGTTTCTTACTGACGCCTGGGATCGAACCCGGGACCACTGGATCATGCGTCCAGCGTGCTGTCCGCTCAGCCACCGGCCCCCTTTCCTTTTTGGCAAAAAATGATAACTAGTTTCTGGAGGGTTTCTTTGAAGATTGAAACTTGGCTGGTCCGACCTAGGATGTATCATTTGTTGTCCAGTGGCAGCATTCCACTGAAATCTGCATGCCACTGGTTCTGCCTAGGTGGACACTTTGTTGATTGACCCTGCTTCGTTGGTCCTCTGTTCCAAGACTCATATTTCTCAGGTTGTCTGCAATGTCATCGTAAATATAATGTAAATATGTATGCCATTTTGGCTGCAGTTTTCTGCAACATGTCATGGGCTCATATTTGGGCTTAAGGGGAGGATTTTGGAGGTTTAACAGGGATTTGGGAGCCCAGTATTTGGTCAGTGTTTCTGGTCCCAGTCAGTCTTGTGTTGCACTGGGCTGGGAAAGTCACTGCTTTGACCTAGTGCCTGGTATCTCTCCTTCTCCCTTGTAAGTCCCTTGTAGATCTTTTTCTCTGTGGTTAATTAGCTTCAGGGAGTCACAAGGGGCTCCTCCCAGAAAGAACTGAATGCAATGAAACACCTCTTTCTGGAAGAGCTTTTGTGGCTCTTGACTCCCTCCCTTCCTACCAAGTTCGTCAGTTCATTATGCATGAGTTCCAGGTTAACTTTGGAGCCATGGGCTGCCTGATGGTGGCCATCGGTACGAACGGGTTCGAGCAAATTTTTAGTGAACCAGTTGTTTTGAATTAATCATTTGCAGGGTTGTTTGGCTATTTCAATGCTTCATGTTACCTGATATTCTATGAACCTTGCATTTGTCTGAAAAGCTTCACTGACATTCTGGATGCTTTCCCAGCGAGTGATGATAGTCCTCTGCTCTTTGCATCTCTGCAAAAGGGGCCATATTCAACCTCTGGTCTCCAGAAGGTCCAACAGGACCCTGCGACTGATGTGACCCATTAGTGGGGAGTCATCTTGGTGAGAAAGCTTCAGTGAGCTACTGGGACTCTTCCAGAAAGAGGAGTTTTATTACATTCAATGCGGGTTTTTATTTTCATATATGAGGAAAATATAATAATGAAAATGTAACGTACTGTACTGTACAATAATTTGTATTTGTTAATAAAAACTATTCAATCGTATCCTTTTCAGAATAAAAGAGGCAGCCAATCGATGATGAACTTGTATCATGGAGATGATGAACAGTTTCCAAGAAACAGTCAGAGACAATCACATCGAGGACCTAGAAGAGGAAGTCGCCACTGTGAAGTCTTGCAACAACCAGTGCAGAGTCAAAGTTATGGAAATCAAAACCATAGGCAACCCTGGGGCAGAGATCAAAACAATCAAGGTCCATATCTTCCCTACCATCCTTCACATAATCAGGGTCCAAGTCCTCCCTACAATCCTTCACACAATCAGGGCCCAAGTTATCCTTCACATAACCAGGGTCCACGTCCTCCCTACCATCCTTCACACAATCAGGGCCCAAGTCCTTCCTACCGTCCTTCACATAACCAGGGTCCAAGTCCTCCCTATAACCAGGGCCCAAGTCATCCTTCACATAATCAGGGTCAATATCCTCCCTACCATCCTTCACATAATCAGGGCCCAAGTCCTCCCTACCATCCTTCACACAATCAGGGCCCAAGTCCTCCCTACCATCCTTCACACAATCAGGGCCCAAGTCCCCTATACGATCAGAGCTCCAGGAATTCCTGCCTTGCTTCACAGGACTGGCAATTGGGACCTTCAAAGAATAAAAATCAAACACCTTCAGATGATCGAAAAGCAAATTGCCAAGATTATCAAGCATTCCAACATGGTCACGCTCCTTTTCATAACCACAGTGGAAATGACAGAAGGGAACAGTATAATCAAACCCCTCCACCCTCATATGACGAATCAGTTAGACAATATGAGAGAATTAACCCAAGTGCTCCTCCTTTAATGGATTTAGTCCTAGACTCTGATCAATATTCTGAAAACTTTTTCCCCAAAAATAATTTATTCAGGGATCAAACAGCAGGAAATGGGTCTGGCCAGAAGAAGAATCTGCACATGCAAGGTAACCCTAAGAAAAGTACACCATCCAAACTATGTCCTGAAAATCTGGCAAAAATTCTATCTACCTTTAATGGACATCGGAGCACAGCCAAAAGCCTTAGTAAACAAGTTAACAAAAATGTGGAAGTAGTTATTCAGTTGGTAGAGGAACATAAGAAAATATTTTCATGCAAGAATGTTGAGGATGATACAGAAATTGAACTTCTTCCTCAAGTCAGCTTGTGTTCACAATACACATCTCCAAAAGGCTGTGTTAATCGTGATGCTTGTCACAATCTTCATATGTGCAAGTTCTATATAATAGGATTTTGTGAAGCACGTGTTAATTGTCAGTATGGTCATCAGTGGGATACTGGTCACAACAGTTCTATACTTTCAGAGTTTTATTTGAATTTGATTGACAAACGTAAGTTATACAACGTAATTCAAAAAGTCTGCAAAGCAAGTTTTACCCCTGAAATATGTAACTTCTACAATACAAAGAAAGGATGCACAAAGAATGAAGGATGTAGTCGATTACATTTATGTAAAGATTATTTAAAGACTGTCGGAAATTGTTCATTTCCTAAGTGTTCATTTAGTCATGACTTATCCACTGCCCATTGTAAGAGATTGTTCAAGCGTTATGGCATCTCCACAAATGAGACCAAACGTGACATTTTGTTAACCCTTTCACAATCTCTGCACAAAAAGGATATTAACTGGACTTCATCTGTATCACTGGGAAAAGAAAACACTACACTTTCAGATGATAGCAACAGCAAAACTGATGATAGTGATGAAGAGTCTTCCTCAGACAGTGAAAGTGATTCGGACTGTTCAGAAAAAAGTGATACACTTAAAAGTAAAGGTCAGAGAAAGTATAGAAAAGAGAGGCCTGATGTTGAGGATAAGAAAACAGAGAGAAAGAAACTTACTGTTAAGTCCACTGATGTTTGTGGTGATGTACAAATACCTGAGATATGTGTGTATGCTCTAGATGATAAGTGTCATAACGCTATCAAAGGATGCAGGTATCTTCATGCAAAAAGTCTCTTCCATTGGCAGTTTGAAAAAGGGAGTAAATGGTACAATTTCCGCATATTTCAGTCTAAAGTATTAGAAACTGCTTACCAAGATGTTTCAAAGGATAATGTCCAAATTCCTCCCTTTGATCCCATCAAAGGTGGATCATATGCTACAGAACTCTTAAACATTTTCGGTACTGGGTCATGGGCAGCCGATTTCAAGGACATGTCTTGTAAAGTTTCTTCAGAATCAAATAAGCTTAAAATTCGGAGAATCTCAACCCGATCTGCAGGAGAGTCTAAGAGTCCAAAATCTACTGTATACAATTGGTATTTTCACGACGAACAAGGCAAATGGATTCGTTATGGCCAGGTTGATAGTCTGAGAAAACTGGAATTTATTTGCAGCACCACAAATGATGATATTGAAAAGCAGTTTTTGTCAGATCCTTTGTCATCAATGGTAATTAGCACATGTAATTCAAAATTTCAATATTGCTTGAACTTTAAAGAAATGACTCAGACTAACCTTCAAACAAAGAAGATAAGGGAAATACGCAGACGTCCATCCCTAGACACTCGCCAGAAAAAATCAACACCTGACTCAAATCAGAATTGTCTTCCCTCTCACTGGCAAGCAATGGCAGCAAGTCAGACCCACGTCTTGGTGGCCCTGGATCCCACTACCACTGAATACCAGAAAGTTATGGGCCTCTTGCGACTCACACTTCCCACTGCCAGTGTACAGAAAATTCAGCGACTACAGAATCCATATTTGTGGCAACAGTTAGAAAATAAAAAGGATTTCTTGTCTCGAAGGTAATGAATGTTTATTTCTTTGCCAAATATTTTTTTCCGATTGATTCGCTTTTCAGAATAAACAGCCCAGCTTATTTTAACTGTTGCTGAAAAAGTAGTAAGTAGCGACATACATAGCTGCCTTTTTAATTGAATACAATTATCCTAATTGGTAACCCAATTGGGCTATACTAGTAGTCCAATCTGGCATCCCTGGTTCAATCATTGTTGCAAGTCAAACACTTCTTCGAATTCCTGCCCCCACAAAGAATGTAATCTCAATCTAAGTAAGACCAAGTATGCGACTTGGTATGACGTTGACTAAGCTCATGAGGTGTTTGATCTGTCATCTTCAATCAGGTGCCAATAAAAGTTACATGAGAGAAGCCCATAACATCACCCTAACAAGAGAAATGGTGAATAAAAACACTGGCATATTAGACAAAACCCAAGATGTAAGAAGAATACTTTCATGTATATTTTAAGTTAAATCCAATTAGAAGTGGATAACTTAAATTTAGGAGATAGTCTTTTGTCATAATGACTCGAGTCATTGTCACCATCTTTGATCTTCCTTTTTATTTCAACATCTACAGCTTCATACTAAATAAGAAAGAAGCAGCTGGAAGTCTTGTATGTACTGGTTGGTTGGTATGTATGAGAGGATGTCTCATAATATACATATCATTGAGCTTTCCAGTTTAGGCTGCTAGGTAGTGTAATATTTAGGAAAAGGGGATTTTTGACTTAACACTTTCGCGTTCCACAGACTGAATAATTCGTCATTTATTTTTCTACTGAATGTGTTCCAACGACGCAATACTGAGTCACTCATTACAATATTTTTTAAAAATTTAAATTTTATCAGATCAATCTGGTAGTGGTTTTAAAATAAGCGCCTTTAGATTGCACACAATTTGATACCAAAATCAAAGATATAACATGAAACTTGATGTCCAAACACTTGAAATATTATAAATAGGTCTATGGTCTGAATATTAAAATATTTGTTAAAATTCTATTTATTGTCCTATTATCTTGGGACTTGTTTTAAAATGTGCGCCTTTTTATTGCGAACAATTTGATACCAAAATGAAAGATGTAACACAAATATTTATGTCAGAACACTGGAAAGATATAAATAAATTTGTGATGATTAGCGTCCAGAATTAAAATATTTGTTAAAAATCCAGTTATTGCTCTATTATTCTGGGACTAGTTTTAAAATAATCGCCTTTTTATTGCGAACAATTTGATACCAAAACGAGCGACGTAGCACGAAATTTGATGTTATCAAATTGAACGAGTTGAACATTAGGTTGCAATGTACAAAATGGTGCTCGTTCATGGGTAACTTTAGGCTTTTCTGCGGGGAGGCACTCCAGCCTTTTGTACATTTTATTCATACACATCTGTAGGGAATTTAATTGCGAACACAATGATACCAAAATGAGCGACGTAGCACGAGAATTAAGGTAAAAAAATGGAACGAGAATGCACATGTTACTGATTTTGTGCGTTTTTGCCGACTTTACGCTTTGCTGTTGGGAGTCACGCTAGGCTTTTGGACATTATATTTATACACACCTGTAGAGAATTTAATTGCGAACACAATGATACCAGAATGAGCGACGTAGCGCGAGAATTAAGGTGAGAAAACTGGAACGAGTATACACATTTGAGTGTCACCGCGCGCTTACCCGCACGGAGGGGCCACGATCCCCCTGTCAACCGCGAGTTTCCACGGAGCGCGAAAGTGTTAAGAGTCATTACAATCTTGATCAGGTAATATGTCCCAATAAAATAGAGGGTTGGTAGAATATATTGGTACATTTGATTTTGGTTGTGGTGGCACTTAGCAAGGTATGTTAGCAATATGGAAAAAAAGGTTTCAAATATCATGTTCCTTGATTATAAAAATGAATTACATTGGCTGAAATTATTATGTGGTGTATTGTTTATTATATATATAAACTAGTATCAAATAAGGATTAGGTAATGTCTTAATTTGCATTTCTATCTTTTTGGCAGTTATGATGAAAACCAATTGAATATGCAGGAGGTGTTTCATGGAACTGACTCGTCTAAGATTGACAAAATATGTAAAGAAAACATAGACTGGCGCCAAGGTACAACTACTAACCAAGACTTTGGGAAAGGCAACTATTTCTCCAAAAAGTAAATATTCTTGATATTCCATTCTATATTTTGTGTTTGTATGCATGTATAAGTAAGATTTTGTATATACAGTATATAAGATAAGTAATATAAGCTTCTGGCATTTGTGAAGAAACAATATAAACTCTTGATGTTCCTGGTGGGCTGAAAGATTTTCCTGTAATTAGAACATTACTATTCTGTACATTGTTGCTTTGATTTTGAACCTGTTTGTCGTGTGAGATACATAGTCCTTCACCCAGCCAGGTAGAACTAACTATGTCCTCTCCATCTACTATCTTCATTACCTGCCCTCTCCTGATCTTTAACTTTGCATTTTTGTATTGGTCTGTGTTTCTTAACTCCTTCTGTTTGCCTCTTAGTGCGCTCATTTTTTTGCTGCTCATTTGTGAGGTCTGGTGATATTCATACTTGGTTATACTCTTCGAGATCTTTTAGTTTGTGGGCACTGTTGAGTATCCACCTCTTGTGTTCTGGAATAATAATAAGTTTACACCTCTGTGTATTATTTTGGCTGTGAATCAACATATCACGGATATGGAAATTCACCTTGAGATGGAAGTACACTTTAATTGTTGTTGAGTTTAATTAATTTCCCAATCTAAATAACAAATGCAAATAAAAGCAAATTTCTGGCTGGTTTTAATAAGAATTAAATAAAGAAATCGTCACCGCGTGAGCCGTGGTAGGTGACTCAATAGCCCACCATCGATAATGGGAAACTTTTGGCACTTTCGCAAAAGAAATTAATATTGTTAGTACATAATTTTAATTTCCTAACAAAAGCATTTATCTTGCTTTTGTGCTAGGGGTTAGTTTTTGGGTGTTGGAAATTTCTGGCATTGCATTTGGGTTGGATGTTAATTCCGCTCCGTTCCGCAAGTTTCATGTGCATTTGTCACCTACGGCCTGCTCGTGCGCTGCCTCAGCCTTCCTGGTATTTGGATTGGGTTCTTTCTTCTCCTCGTCTTGTCGTGGCCCTTTCAGTCAGTGATTGTTAAGTCGGTTTGTTCGGCTGCCTTCTCCATTTCTGGCGATGAATGAGACAGCTCACTTCTGAAGGGGTCCTTTGGTGGTGGATGCTTGGTTGGTTAGGCCGGGGACCATCATGTGTTGTGTCCGGCGGCGGCTTTATGCTGCTACCTTCAGGCCACTGGTTCTGTGTTAGGTGGTGATCTTTGGGTGGATCCGGTTTCCCCTGGTTCCCTGTTCCAGGGCTCGTGTGTGTCTCAGGTTGTCCACAGTGTCATCAAGTCCAGCCAGTCTGCAGTCTACCCTTGTGCCCATGATGCACGGAAGTACTCGGTGCTCACCGCAGTGTTTGGGAACATGTCCTGGGATGCAATCCGGGCACATGGGTTTGGAGGACAAACAGGTTCCTGGCCACCAGATCTCTCGTGAAAGTTTTGGGCCCTCTCCGGCCTTGTGTGGCTTTGGGGCGTCAGTTGCTGCCGTCGGTCTCTTCTTCATCTTGAGACTTCCTAGGTAAGTCTCTGTTTGTTTTCTTGGTGGGTAGGTAGCTTCAGGGAGCCGATGGGGGCTCCCCAGAAAACCAATGCTGAATGTAATGAAACGCTATATTCTGGGCGAAGCCCCAGAAGCTCTCTGACACCCTTCCTTCCCCTGGTCAGCGGTTTTTGGGCTTTACATCAGGACTAGAACTGAGGTGGCAAGTAGCCGACTCGCCTGAGCAGCTCCTCCTCCCCCTTTGGGTGGGTGGGGGGGGGGGAGATGTGCTAACGAGCAGGAGTACTAGTTGGGGCAAGGTTGCCAGTTTTAGTTACTTTCTGATACTTTAATTTTAGTAGGACTTTCTTTGGTCTTTCTGGCTGTAGGTCGCATTTTACTGGCTAGTTGTTTGTATTAGCTCGCCTATCTTTCTGGATGCCCACCCTGGTCGATGGCGGAATATGACATATTGTAAATGTAAAGTGGTCGTACGCAATTGCTTCCCTGTGCCTCTTGTGAGGGGATCAGGTTGTGGCTCTGGTTCCCGGTAGGCATAGGAATTCCAAGTGACTGATGACTCTACACTAATATAGCACATACCAGTTTGGATAGCTTCAGGGAGCCTCCGAGGCTTTGCCCAGAAAATGATGTTTCATTACATTAAACTTTTTTTTTTTTTTTAATTATTCAGCATTTTGTTTCCACTTTCAGTGCTGCAGTTGCCCGTCGTCATTGTAGCCCAGATGCCTATGGTCAGTACTCACTTATATTGGCAGACGTTATCATTGGCACTACGGTCAAAGGGTCTCCTACACTCACTCGTCCACCAGTTAACCCCAACACCAATGCACTCTATGACACAACTGTGGACAATATAAATGATCCAACTGTCTTTGTTAAGTATGACAAGGAAGAGTACTACCCCAAGTATATTATTGAATTCTTGTAAATTCTAAAGGTATAATACTTTTACTCTGTATGTTGTTCATCATTCATATTGTATACAGATGAAAGGATAAGTTGTAGGCTTCCTTATTCAGTGACTTGTACAGTGCTTCTGTACAAAAATGCCTCATAATTTTTGTCATTAATACTGAAGGGGAATCATATATTCTTACTTACTGTATACTGCATACTTACTGCATATGCATGACAGCAGTGGTGGTGTCATTTGGCAGCAGTAGCCTACACTTACATTATGTGGCTGTGATCACATCACCTTATTTGAATACAGTATTTGTCACTATTAGTTTTTTGATGCACTACTTGCATTTTATATACCTTGAGGAGTGTTTTTTAATAAGCAGAATTGTGGTCACATCAAGCAGATAACTATATTTAACTCTTGTGCATATTATTTTTAATTTTTTCTTTAGATGCAAATATCTGTGGTCTTGTGGTAGAGGTTTAGTTTAGGCTTGATGATAATATTTTAGTTGTATAAATTCCAAACTATGTGATTATTGTTATTAAAGTAGGTAGTTGAATTTTTCAAAAAGCCACTAATTATGCTCAGTATTTTGGGCATTCCTCAAGATTGTGTGTTTTTTAATTAGCTTGTTAGACCTGTCTTTTATAATATACTTGCATTAGAGGCCTTCCTTGTCTTGCATGCATTAGAGACTTGTCTTGTGTTATCAGTTTGTATTTAGGATCTATCATTTGTTAAAGTCATCTTGTTTTAGAGATCTCTCTTGTATTAAAGTGTAACATATATGATTTTGGGTGACAACATTCAAAGATTATGGTGTTTTCTAACGATTATTTAACTCCTGCACTGCACAAAGCACCTTACAGTGCTTGACTTGTGGTGTGCATGACGCCTTTTAGTGTTCGTGGGTATATTGTAAGCTTCAAAACGCCCACACACACACAGGGTTCACATTTGGTTTTTCAGGCCTCCAGTAACCATCACCCATCTTGAAAAAAAAAATCTTGAGTCCCTCGCTTTCCTTCTAGGGTCTTAGTTAAAAGATGAAGATCTTGTCTGGCACATCACCAGCCAATGTCTGAACATGCGAAGCAGCCATACTAGGAACCATTGAACTTCTAACAACAATAAATGAGTGATTACCATATGCTCGATGAGCATCCACTCCACAATAAATGTGCAATACAAGAGCAGTTATCGTAAATACAATACTATTTGTAAAATTCAATAAACGTGAATATATTTATGACTCGGTAGCGAGGCAGTTGCAGGGCAGCTTGCAACTGAGTGAGGAGCTACTCTGTGCATGGGTTGTTGCCAATATATTATGTTGCATCTTGTCTCCTTTCCACATGTCACCACACCTGCCGCACCGCTCTCTGCGCAGCTCCCCCCCCCCCCACTTCCCTGGGAGGGGGAAGGGGGAACCCCAGACCTCCCACTCTGGCTACCTTGTATGCTGAGTTGTAGTGGCAGTCAGTGGCAGCACACCACTGGCTCTCCCTCCCTCCCTCACCTCACCTGACTCGCCAACATTCTCCCACCATACTGTTTATGGTTTTATTCACTATATACAGACGTTATATATAAGTATCTGCATGTTTTGTTACCATAGTGAACAACTAAGCTGGTATAGTGAGTCCAGACAGTACAAGGTGGTCACACAGAGTCAGCAGACAATGCTACCTCCCTCCCCACCAAGATTACTCCTCCCACTACAGCGCTAATTATCACAACAATCCTGCTATTGTCAGAACCCTGGTCATTTTGATCACAGTCAGGGGTCTTCTGTAATACTATCATTGTTAAATAATAGCATGAACATATATATTATGGCATTTTTAGGCGATGCTGTGGTCACAAGCTTGTTGGATATGAGAGCATTAGGGAATTTCACGTCTGTCCCAAAAAGCACAAAGTGAGGTGTGTGTCTTATGGAGGAGCTGACAGAGGAGTTGATCGAGCTTTGGACGATTGGCATAAGTTCATCCCATTTGTGACTGTCCCGATTGACTGTTACTCTGAGTGTGTCAAGTACTTTATTAGGCCTTTCAGCGAGGCCATTGCTAGCCGGTTGATAAGGCATTATATTACACTTTTTGATGTTGTACAGTTTAGCCAGTTGTTCCAGAACAGAATTGTTGAATTCCAGGCCATTGTCCGAGAGTATAACCCTAGGTGGACCATACCTGCAAATTATATGATCTTGAAATGCACTAGCTATAGTTTCTACAGTTTTGTTTGGAATTGGAACCAGTTCACATTATCCAGAAAAGTTATATACAATAACTAGGAGATGTTTATTACCTCTGGAAGTTTCAGCAAAATTCGTTAGCAAGTCCATAGAAACACGGTCCCGAGGTGCATTAGTCGTTATCTTGAGGTTATCTTGAGACGATTTCAGGGCTTTAGTGTCCCTGCGGCCCGATCCTCGACCAGGCCTCCACCCCCAAGAAGCAGCCCGAAGCAGCAGTCGTAGGGTAAGTCTGAATCGGGTTCGAGCCAGCAACATGGCCTCTGTGAGCTAGGCAGGTTAGACATTGATCCACATGACGTTCAATCTGTTTTGCTATTTTGGTCCAGAAGTACTTAAGACAAACCTGCTTTATGGTGTGGTCCTTGCCAGGATGTGCACTGTGTGGGGCGTCATGAACAAGTTTTAATACGGTAGGAACTATCGACGCAGGAATAACGAGTTGATGTATCAGTTTGGCAGGAGATCCAAGTATAACCTTGTGGTGGAGCGCGTGATCTAAGAGTACTAGTTCCTTGAGCAGTACGGGAGGCTTGATGGTAAGAGTTGTGGTCGGGTTCATTAGAAAGCTTATGATTGGTGCCCATATTGGGTCTTGTTGTTGTGCTAATTTTACATCTTGCAAGTTTAATGAAGGGTATTCAACGTGAACAGGAGCGACGTAACGGGAAAGGGGCATCGGCATGTACATTATGTTTGCCAGGTAAGTATCCAAACGTGGGTAGGAACTCTTGTATTATGAGTGACCAATGGGCAAACTTGCCTATTGGGTTCTTGTCCCTGAAGAATGATGGCTTGGTGGTCCGTCAGTACATGGACAGGGTAGTTATAGATGATATCTCTGAAAGGTTTGAGAGCCCACACTACAGCTAAAGCTTCGCATTCTGCTGTTGAGTAATTCTTTCGTGCTTTGGAGAGGACTCTGCTTGCATATGCAATGGCATGTTCTTTTCTGTCGCTAGTTTGTGATGGTACGGCTCCTAACCCAACATTACTGGCGTCGGTGACTAAAACAAACGGTTTGGAGAAGTCTGGGAATTTGAGAATGGGAGCAGATATCAAAGCCTCTTTAAGTGTTTGAAACGCTTTCTTCTGATCAGCAGTCCAAACAAATGGAACATCTTTCTTAAGGAGGTGAGTGAGGGGATATGCAATCACTTGAGTAATTAGCAATGAAATGGCGATAGAACCCTGCGAGGCCTATGAACTTTTGTACAGCTTCAACATTATGAGGAACAGGATAGTTCTTGACAGCTTCTCTCTTGGAGTCTAGAGTGGTGATGCCTTGTGAGGTGATGTTATGGCCTAGAAACTTTATCTCTTTATTTTTTTCATGAAGGCACATTTGCTAAGTTTGATTTTCAGATTGACTTTAGTTAGTTTCTGAAGGACTTGTTCTAAACTTTGAAGGTGGGATGGCATATCCTTGGACATGATGATGTCATCAAGGTAAACCATGAGGGTATTTCCTATCATTTGTCAGAACAAGTTTGTCATAAGCCTAGAGAAAGTAATAGGGCTGCTGCGTAAGCCAAGAGGCATGCGGGTGTACTGGTAATGGCCATTAGGGACTGAAAACAGTCAGTTCTCGGCTTTCTGGGTCAAGCAGTACCTGCCAAAATCCTTGCAATAGATCAAGTGTGGAAAAAACCTTATTCTGGCCTATGTTCTGCAATAAGTCAGTGAGCACGGGAAGTGGAAATCTATCAGGTATCGTAACTTGGTTAAGTTTTCTGAAATCGACGACGGGATGCCAAGAGCCATCCTTCTTGGGTACTATGGAGCATTGGAGATCAATGGAGCATTCCATGGAGAGGTACTTTCTTCAATAACACCTTCGTGTAACACCTCGTCAATAAGTCGGTCTGCAACAGCTTGTTGAGAATGGGACAATCTGTATGCAGGTACATAAATCGGTCGAGTACCAGGTTCAAGAAGAATCTTGTGAATAATGAGGTGTGTCAGTCTAAGTTGTTCACCTGTCAAAGCAACAACGTTGCGATGCTTGTTGAGGATGGTCAGTAACTGAGCTTGGGTGTTAGGGAAGTCAGTGGGACTTAAGATGCTCAGGTGAGACCGCTAACTGATTTCGATTTGTCGTGTGAAAGAGTGCATGTACTATTTGGTCAGTAGAGGCCTCATCCACTACTCTCACCAGTAATGAATAATGGGTCAAGTCTACAATGTGTGCACCTGATGCGAGGTGAATGTTGGTATTGGTGACGTTGGCAACATAAACAGTAGTAGTGTTGTTCTGTATCTGATGTAAGGAAGGTTCTATGTAGGTGCCCTTTATTTGACATGTGTCACTGTCTGTTATTACGTGATCTAGGTCAGGTATACCAGGAATTTTGACAATAACCTTCGTTAGTGCGTGAGAATGTAGGACTGTGTCATGGTATAGGATGCCTCTGACTTGATTGATGTTGGACTCTAGGCAAGCAAGGAAATGAACAATCGCTGGAGCCCCTTGCAAAGATTCATTGATCTTACCAACCTGTGAGTCTGCGTGATTGTGCGCTGGACTGGCGTCAATAAGTGACTGAGTGATGGGTTTGTTTGGGCGTGACTGGTAATGTGTATCCTGGTCTCCTCTGGCTTGTATGTAACTGATATAGTCCCTATGGTTGGTGAACTCATGTCCCATGGTGTACACACTACAAAGAGGTACTACTGTGTCACCAATATTTGTTTCCCAATGGTAAGTATTGATAGTAATTTGGTAGTCTCTCATAGTGTTTAGCTTTAGTAAGATGTCTCCTAGGAACCGAACATCACCCACTATTAAACATGGCATGGCGAGTGATCTGTCATTGACCATTAACTCTGTGTCAGCTTCACCTAACGCCAGAGTCATCCCTCCAGTAAGTCCACCAAGGTTGGAAACAGATGGCTGGCGTATGTCGAGTCCATTGTGTACGTCCAGCAAGGCGGCTTGTTTGATGATGTTGACTCTAGCTTCTGTGTCTAGGAAAATTTTAACTTATCGACCCTTCAGAGTGGCTGAAATCAGAGGACCTTCTGTGTCCTTGTTAGGCACGTTATTACGAGACTGATGCGGTCGACGTGGTGTTTGGAGCACATGAATGTGAGTACTGTCAGTGTGTAGGCGGTGTATGGTATCCTCCTCTGCTAATATATTAAACCTGTCATGGGTAGGCACTGAGTATTCAGGGAGATCGTCTCACTTTCCTACGTCATTCTGCTTACGAAGGCTGCTATGCCTTGCCCCGATTGGGAAGCATAGGTCTGGTCTGCATTATCCTTGAAGATCATGGTGCCGTTTGTCATACGCGATTCACGGTGTCGATCTGTGTCGTGACTCAATTGTCGCATACCTAACATGAGCAGTAAGTCGGTTTGCAGGACAATGTGTAGGGCTCAGTCGGCACTGATTAGTTGTTGCAGCATGCAGTTGCTTATGGGAAGGAGGAGTAGGGCTAGTGTGGTTAGCTTGGGGGTTAGTACTGCGGCAAGCTCTACAGTCAGCAGTGTCATAACCAGGGAGCTGGTGGTAAGTGCAGAATGGTGCACGAGCAGCTCGGCAATCTGACGTGTCGTGTCCAGGTCTGCGGTGATATGTGCAATAAGAACGGTTGTGATTGTTAGATTGGCCTGCATTGTTATGTCTGGCATGCTGTTGATAACGAGTGTTGGTTGATGTGCACTCTGCCTTACGGTGGCCTGGTTTGCCACAGTTAAAACATTCTGGTGTTTGAGGACGCGGAGTATACTGAAGGGAGCCTGTCCTGGAGTATGACCTGGGGCCATATGAGAGTGGAAGAGACCTAGCATGAGTCTGAACGTTTCTAGGAAAAGAACATGTGAAAACGTTCACAGGGTTATGGAGGCTGTTTGCACTAAAAACGGCAGAGTCCCGGTTCTTTAGTCTTTCTGTGGAGTCTATCATTGCATCCATTAAGTCTATGTGTGGCATATTACTTGGTTTGTTGTGGATGGTATGCTGGGATTTTAGACTTTATATGCATATACTCATATTGTGAACACATTGATGCCAAAATCAAACACCCAGGACAAAAATTGAGGTGACGACAGTGTAAAAAGTATACACATTTCAGTGTTACCGGGCGCTCATTGGGAGTGCCCAGACCACCTAGGGGTGGCGTGATGCTTAATCGCCCAAAACGCGAAAATGTTAAGCTTGCGTTTGGGGTGGATGTCACTTCTGCTCCGTTCCGCAAGCTCTCTCTGGCATTGTTTGACCTCCAGCCTGCTCATGTGTCGCCTGAGCCGTCCTGGTCTTTGGACCGGGTGCTCTCTTTTCTCTCTCCTCAGTTTGTAGTGGCCCCTTCAGTTCAGGACTGTTTTTCCAAGTCTTTTTTTTTTGTTGGCATTGGCCTCTAGGG